ATTGTTTTGGTATTTGTTATCCAACCTCCTGTTTCCCTCCCCAGTCCTTCCCAGACTCTAGTAATCACTATTCTAAGTTCAGATTGACTTTAAAAAACAAAAAAAAACCTTCCATTTGAAAGACTATATAGTAATTTGTGTCCAACTTATTTCACTGAGCAATGCTCTCCAGTTCAATCCACTTTCCTGTAAAATTCATCATTTAATTATTTTTATGACTGAATAATATTCACTATTTATATATTTGTTTTTTGTTTTGTTTTTGTCTTTAAGCAACACAAATTTATCATCTCATAGTTCTAGAGTCCAGAAGTCCAAAATTAACATGTTGGCAGGACCATGGTCTTTTAAAACTCCAGAGGAAAATCTGTTCCAAGCTTTACTCTTGGCCTTTGGTGTTGCTGGCAGTCAGCTGTGGAACTCCAGTGTCTGCCTCATCATCAAATGCACTCTCATATTCACTACATATAGCACATTTTCTTTATCCATTCATCCATTGATGAAAACCTAGGTGTGTTCCATGTCCTAGCAATCCTGAATAGTGCAGCAGTGAACATGAGTGTATAAGTATCTCTTTGATACTTTGATATGCTGATTTCTTTTTCTTTCAACTGTATAGCCAGAAATGAAATTCCTGAGTCATAAAGTAGCTCTGTTCTTAGTTTTTTGAGGAAGCTCCATGTTCTCCATTATGGCTGTCCTAATTTACATTCCCAGCAATAGTGTATAAGGGCTCCTTTTTCTTCTGTCCTCTCTCCCCTCCCCCCTCCCCTCTCCCCTCTCTTTTCTCCCCTCTCTTCTGTCTCCCCTCTCCCCTCTCCCCTCTCCCATCTCCCCTCTCCCCTCCCTCTCCCCTCTTCCCTCTTTTCTCTCCTCTTCTCTCCTCTCCTCCCCTCCCCTCCCCTCCCTTCCCCTCCTCTCTCCTCCCCTCCCCTCCCTTCCCTTCCTCCTTCCCTTCCCCTCCTCTCTCCCCCTCCCCTCTCCTCCTCCCTTCCCTCCCCTTCCCTCCTCTCCTCTGCTCTCCTCTCCTCTCCTCTCGATTTTATTTATTTATTTGTAAGGTAGAGGGAAAGAGCCGGCGCCGTGGCTCAATAGGCTAATCCTCCACCTTGCGGCGCCGGCACACCGGGTTCTAGTCCCGGTTGGGGCGCCGGATTCTGTCCCGGTTGCCCCTCTTCCAGGCCAGCTCTCTGCTATGGCCAGGGAGTGCAGTGGAGGATGGCCCAGGTGCTTGGGCCCTGCACCCCATGGGAGACCAGGAAAAGCACCTGGCTCCTGGCTCCTGCCAGGATCAGCGCGGTGCGCCGGCTGCAGCGGCGGCCATTGGAGGGTGAACCAACGGCAAAGGAAGACCTTTCTCTCTCTGTCTCTCTCTCTCACTGTCCACTCTGCCTGTCAAAAAAAAAAAAAAAAAAAAAAAAAAAAAAAAAAAAAAAAAAAGGTAGAGGGAAAGACAGAGAGAAACGTTTTCCATCCTCTGGTTCACTCCCCAAATGGCCACAACAGCCGAAGCTGGGCCAATCCAAAGGCAGGAGCCAGGAGCGTCTTCCAGGTCTCCCACGTGGGTGCAGGGGTTCAAGCACTTCGGCCATCTTCCACTGTTTCCCAGGCTATAACAGAGAGCCTGATCAGAAGAGGAGCAGCTGGGACACAAACTAGCAAGGGCTCCCTTTTCTCTACATCTTTGTATAGGGCTGGGCCAGGCTGAAGCCAAGAATGCCATTCAAGTCTCCCATGTGGGTGACAGGGACCCAAATACTTTTAAAAATATATTTATTATTTATTTGAAAGGCATAGAGATAGAGATCTTCCATCCACTGGTTCATTCCAAAATGGTCACAACAGCCTGGGCTAGGCCATGCAAACGTTTGGAGCCAGGAACTTCATCCAAGTCTCCCATGTGGGTGGCAGGGACCCAAGTACTTGAGCCATCTTCCATTGCTCTCTCAGGCACACTAACAGAAAGCTGGATAGGAAGCAGAGCAGCCAAGATAGAACTGGCACTCCTAAATGGGATGTTGGCGTTGCAAGTGACAGCTTTACCCACACACCACAATACTGCCTCCCCAAGCATTTGATCCATCATCTGCTGCCTTGAGGATGCACACTAGCAGGAAGCTGGGGGGAAGGGGAGGGCAACCCTCTGGTTGTGTGCTTGCTTCTGTGTAAGAAAAAGTATCAGCTTGCCAGCACCATGGCTCACTAGGCTAATCCTCTGCCTGCGGTGCCAGCACCCCGGGTTCTAGTCCCAGTCTGGGCACCAGGTTCTGTCCCAGTTGCTCGTCTTCCAATCCAGCTCTCTGCTGTGGCCTGAGAAGGCAGTGGAGGATGGCCCAAGTCCTTGGGCCCTGCACCCACGTGGGAGACCGGGAGGAAGCACCTGGCTCCTGGCTTCGGATCAGCACAGCGTGCCGACCACAATGTGCCGGCCATAGCGGCCACTTGGGGAGTGAACCAACAGAAAAAGGAAGACCTTTCTCTCTGTCTCTCTCTCTGTCTAACTCTGCCTGGCAAAAAAAGAAAAAAGAAAAGAAAAAAGAAAAGAAAAGAAAGAAAAAGTATCAGCTTGTGCGAGATGCCAAAATCTAATATTCCAAAATTAAAGAATTTTGTTATGTCAGGATCCCATTATTATGGGCATTTATCTCAATATTTAATGTTATTTCATTTTCTCACTTGAAGAAAGATTTCAGGAATAATCATAAAAGAAATGAACAGGGAAGATGAGGTCACAGAATTATAATTTTATTATGTATAAAGAACTTTGCTTGTGAATCTGATTCTGTATGTGAAGTGCCATTACTTAGGTGACTTGTTTAATCTTAAAGTTGATCCATAACCAGTGAATAGTTATATTAACCAGTGTTTACAGCAAAAGTAACATTCACAAATGTTTTTAAAACCACAATTCTTCATAGCTTATTTTTTTTCAAAATCAAGATTAGACTTCTGTTTGTCTACTTTTGCTACTTAGCCTCATAAAAGGGAGCTCAAGTTCTAAATTACTTTTGTTTTTCTGTGCTTTTTATTGCTGGGCAATTTCTTATTTATCTTTTACTGATTGCAACACAGACATAAGGAGAACTGTTGGTTCCCATTATGTGAATCTCAATTTTTTTATAAGATTTTATCTCTTTATTTGAGAGGTAGATGTACAGACAGAGAGAGGGAGAGACAGAGTGAAAGGTCTTCCATCCACTCGTTCACTTTTCACATGGCCGCAACAGCCAGAGCAGGGCCAATCTGGAGCCAGGAGCCAGGAGCTTCTTCTGATCGCCTACGTATGTGCAGGGGCCCAAGCACTTGGACCATCTTCTGCTGCTTTCCCAGGCTAAAAGCAGAGAGCTGGATCAGAAGAAGAGCAGCCAAGACATGAACCAGTACCCATATGAGATGCCAGCACCACAGGTAGAGGCTTAGCCCACTACACCACAGTGCTGGCCTTGTGGATCTCATTTTGTAAAACAGACAGTCATTTTACTGTAGAAATTTGGCAAATATGAGTGCAAATAACGTGCTCTTTCAGTAGTACTTTCAGTCTCACCACACCATAGACCTTGCCAGCTAAAATCCATTAAAAGCAAAGAGAAATATTGACTAAATCCACTCACTGTATTTACTAATTTTTTTTCATTATTTCTTTTACTTTATTTGGAAAGCAGAATTACAGAGACAGAGACATCTTCCATCCTTTGGTTTACTCTCCACATACCAGCAACAACTGCAGCTAGGCCAAGTAGGAGCCAGCAGCTTGGAACTCCTGGGTGCTGAGACCCAAGCACTTAAGCCATCATCATTCACTGCCTTCCATTTTACATTAACAGGAAGCCAGATTAGAAGCAGAGTAGCTTGGACTTGAACCAGCATTCTGAGGGCATCCCAAGCAGTGGTCCAGTCTGTACCATGACACCCACCTCTATTTGCTGATCATTTAACCAGAAAGAATATCCACAAAGCATTCTCAGATGTTAGAAACAATAACAGCCAAAGCACTAGTTATCAATGAAATGAACAAAATGGAATCACAGGATTATTGTATTAATAATATTATTATAGTCATTGAGTACCGCTTGGAATCCAACACAGAAAATATTATTGTCAGTGTGGTCCTTTTGGAATCCAGAAGTCAGCCATATGTCTGTGTACCTAAATCATAGACCACACACTCAGAGAATAATTGCATATTGGTTCTGGGACTGTGGCAATCATGTGGTCAGGCAGTAGTGGTTGATGTCCCAGGTGGAGGCAGAACTCCTACGTCCTCATCTCTTAGTTCACTGTGTTCAATTCTCTACTATATTTGCAAAGTTTTCTGTATCAGCTTCTGAAATCAATGAGGATTATTTTCAGGCACATCATATCAGCTTTGCTAACACTACCTCAACTCTATTTTATTTCTTTGGAACTACCAGGACTGTATTTGGTTTATTTTTAAAGCCAAGCAGTATTTTTAATCTTAAACCACTTCGTTTTCGAAACCTAAAAGGCTCTTTATTTAGTCCATGATGAATATTTGAGTAGTGTTAAATTTATCATTCTGGCAGAACTCACATTGTACTTGTCATTAATTGTGACTCATCAAAGAATGTTTTGATGTTGAATCCTTGGTTCACAGATGGTTCTGTTTAGAGGAATGGAGGCAGTGAGCTATGAGGTCCAAGGAGAGAGACTTCTTACGTAATTATTCATTAGCGATTGCTTGAATCTGCAAGAAAGCACAGTATTCTTTTGGGGGAAGGAGAAAGAGGGGCAAGGTTAGGCTTTGTATTGAGACTAGGAAAGGCTTCTTTTTATCTACTCTGTTCTGGATAAGAAGAATTGACATTGGTTTTGCTGCTGTTCCAGGTGTGAGTGGAAATGACACAGGTGGCCAGCAGAGAGGCACACAGTTAAATACTAGAATGTTTGTTTCTATGGAGTCTGTCATCCTGGTAACTATAGTGACAGAGACCACTCCGCAGGAAAGAATGGACTTAACGCTTGCACAGTAAGAACTCGAATATGAACCAATACGCCTCCTTTTAAAAAACCTTTGCCTCAGAGTAGGCATCACATTTACATGTTTACATCTTAAATATTTACATATTTTCATTTCTTCTGTTTTTTTTTTTTTTTTTTTCCTTCCTAGAATGCTTTTTTCTTTTACCCTGTACTTGTAAGGCCTGGTCCTCAAAGGATGAGCAGTCCTAAGTACCTTGTTCAACACTTCTGTGCTGGGTCAGGCTTGTGGCACAGCAGGTTAAGCTGCCACTTGGGATGTCCACATCCCACATCAGAGTGCCTGAGATCAGGTCCTGCCTTTGCTTCCAATTCAGCTTCCTGCTAATGTGCACTCAGAGCTGGAGGTAAGGCTCAAGTACTCACATCCCTGCCACCCTTGTAGATGTCTCTGAGTGGCCATCTGAGCTTTTGGCTTTGTTCTGGCCCAGTCCTGCCTGTTGCAGGCATTTAGAGTGAACCTGCTGATGAAAGGCTGATCTCTCCCTCTATGTGTTTCTGCCTTTCAAATAAATAAAAAATAATTAAGCTCTATATGCCAACTGCTATGTTAATTGTGAATTTAACTACATGAGCAGTTTGCCTAATATTCTAGGTCCTAGTAAGTGCATCAGTGAATCATTCTTTGGAATAACATTTAGTACTTCGTTATTTAAGAAAAATTGTGTCATTAAAGAGACCAGGAGAAACCTGAGAGACATGATTCAGATTCTTTTGGATATATACTAGAAATAATCACAGTGGTTTAATATTTTACCTCTCTGAACCTGTTTCTTCATTTGCAAAATCGGTTAATAACTATGCCCTATAGAGTTACTGGAGTTACCTGAGAATAAATGAGCAGTGTTTTGCCCACAGTAAGGACCCAGTAAATAAATGTTTAGAAGGAAAAGTACGTAGGCAAGAATGCTGACTTGCTCACTTGCTAGCTAGTGCGAGAAAACAGGGAAATGCTTAAGAATGAAAGCAGTAGTTGTATTAATAATCAATGAGAAGAGGCTATTTTAAAACGCTGTTTGTCAAGAGCAAAACATTCAAAATCAAAGTGATAATGCTTTTGCTACACGTCATTTTGGGGCTACATGACTTAAAAGCACTGAGAAAAAAGCCAAATCAAGTAATACAAATGACTAAATGCCTTCTGAGAGGCCAAGAGGAACAACAGAAAGAATCAAGGATTTGGAGGAGGGAGCTTGGACTTGAGCCCCTGCTCAGCATTTTCTTGATAGAAGATACCACAAATACTTTAATAGGTACCATGACCTTACTCAGTGTTCACATCTGTAAAAAAAGATAAAGAATGGTTTTTGAATTCTTGAGAATTTTTGTATGCATTTTGCAAATTATAAAATACTGTATGAGTCAGTATTTTAAAGACATGATGGGGAAGATATTTATTCTCCTCAAAAAGACTCCTTTAATTGCCTCCAGATATTACAGATAAAAGAATAAATACAGGACCGATTATGGTAATTGTTCATTTTCACAGATGATAGAATTGGAGTAAATGGGATTGCGGTACCATCAGTGTTGCAGAGACAAAAGACAAAAAGCCTGAATATGAAGTCGTCTATAAACAGTAGCCAGCTGTGAAGGACGTTAGTAATCCCGTCCTTGTTTGAACCTCTTCTGAAATTCAGATTCATGATTTACAGATGGACAAACATATATATAAGGAAAGTGCTATGTAGTATCTGTAACAAATGAAAATTATTTAAAATTCATTTTGTATGTTGCAAAGTTAAGATTACAAAATACACCATTTTAGATAATTAGATTGAAGGTATATTTCAGTTGATATATGATCTAGGAGCAGGATCATTCTGAATAACTTTTTTGAGATTTCTCCAAGCTGTTTTGCTTAGTAGACCAGATTTTTCTAAGTCACTAAGGTTGAAAAAATATGAGCAAAAATAGTGCATCATCTCACATTACATCATGTGTATTTTAATTGGCTTTATTTATTTATTTTTTACATCTTCACACAAAATAGTTGAATTTAGAAGAACTAAATGAAAGGGGAAGACTGATTTTCCTTCTCATGAGCTGTTTGTATGACAGCTGATTTAGCACTTTCAATACTTGAAGGGACTGAAGGAAAAAAATAATCTGGATTAAAACATTAAAAATAGAAACACAAATTCCAAGATTAAGTCCTTTGAGTTACTTGACAGTGTAATTTCCTTTGTAAAGGTTTGAGAGAAAATACCTTATCCTACCCAGTTAAGAATAAGCAGAGAAAACCAAGCATTAGTTTGGCAGTGCATCCGCTGCACACGTGATGGAATCATACTGAAATTAGGTGAAATAGTATAAACCTGTCCTCCTCCTCATCTAGTTTTTGAATAAGTGCAGCTATGAGTAATTTTCTAAATCGTCCCTGTTTGCATGTACTGGTTAACCTTTTGTCTTTACCATATCTGTGGGAAAGTTCTCACCAAAATATCTGAACCCTAACTGGATCCCCTGTAATCCATCTGAAGTTCTGAAGACACTTGGATATCCAAGGATTATGCCATCAATAAACTGGTCTCTGAAGTTTGCTACCTTATTCTTGGTTATAACCAGAATAGAGATAGTCCAGCGGAGAATACAGAACATATGGAAGAATAATTGTTTCTTTATTGGAAGATAATATATTTCCCCCAGAGATTTATTCCACAGGAAATGTGTTAAGAAATTATGTGCATAATAAAAACATACTTTATTCAGGTTTGACAGGTAACTGATCTACACACACATACACACACAAATAGCCCTTTTGACAAAGCAGATGCCATTCAACGGTTTTTACATAATAACATACATACTTACACATCAGAATTTCAGGTATTTAATGTAGAAACCTCATAAGATCAACAAGAAATTCCTCAACATCCTGCATCTTTATTGACTTTCTTTTCTTGGCTAAATACTGAATATTTCTGGTTGAAGTTGATAACTTTATTTTAAGCCTGAGAGAGCAGTTGACTTGCCCTTGGTCTAATGATACTGAGCAGCTGCCAAAGCCTGTTTCATATCCACAGAAAAGATTCTCCCTGGAGAGGGGACACATAACCATGCATGTCCCTTTCAAGATGTCTCTTTGGGTACCATGTCAGGAAATGACTTTCCAAGGGCAAGGAGGGGTCTGTGTTTGGCCTTTTGATAATGCCTCTATGCACAAAGGAGAGTCAATGTTAAAGAGTTAGGCCTTGAGAAAATTTTTTGTTACTTAGTTTGCATTTACAATATAGCCTAAAGCTCAGGACATATTTTGTTTTATTTTAGCAAAATACATCAAAGGCAAGTAAAATGAACAAATAAATGATTTTATATATGAAAATCCCATTTCTTTTTCTAAGTTCAAGAATCAAAAGCAATTTGACTTGCAGTGGTAGATATAGAAACAGTAGACTTAGTCTCTTTAGATAATATTGGTTATGATTGCCTCCATTTTCTGATTACTTGCTGTGTAAAATATGAGCATGTAAGAAATACTCAAACAGCTGTCAAATGAAGAGTGCTAAATGCTATAAAGCACTTGATACAATTTTTTTCATTTCATCTCACATGGATACATGTATACCTTCATGATGTATAATGTGTGTTCAAAAAATTCATGGAAAATGTACATTATCTTTTAATTCTATTTTTTAAAAAAATATTATTTATTTGAAAGGCAGAGAGGCAGAGGTGGGACGGGGGAAGGGGAGAGGTCTTCCATCCGATGGTTCACTCCCCAATGGCTGCAATGGCCTGAGCTGTGCCATTCTGAAACAGAAGCTGGGAGCTGCTTCCAAGTTTCCCACATAGGTGCAGGAGCCCAAACACTTGGTCCATTTTCTACTGCTTTCCCAGGGCATAGCAGAGAGCTGGATGGGAAGTAGAACAGCCGGGATTCAAACTGCCGTCCATTTGGGATGCTGGCACCGCAGGTGGCAACTTTACCCACTATGCCACAGCTTCGGCCCCTTAATTCTATTTTATAAGTACCCTCATATACAGAAATTTAAACTTCAGAAGATTTAAATAACTTAAATGTCAAACAGCTAGTAAGAATGGCAGCAAAGATTCCATACTAATCTGATTCCCGAATCCGTCCTTATATCATATCCAACTATACACACATGCACACACACAGACATGTACAGAATGTCTCTGAGTATACTATCTCTTTACATTGTTACTTCCCTCAGGTTATCTCATCATCCTTACTATATTTTCCTCATCAGATTTACTCAATGATGTATTGATTTGTTCACATTTCAAGACATTTCCTAATCCTTATCCTGTTGTACTAGACATACCCCACTTTGTCTAGGAAATGTTCTCCCTGTTATTCATGGAGCATCTCAAGAAATCCTCCCTTGAATATTTGGTATTTTCCATGGGCCCACAGCACATCCATCTCCCTTTTCATTTATTTATTATTTCAGTGTTTCTTTATTCCCTCTCTAAATGTGCTAGCCTCTTTATTTTCATTTAATCAAAATTGTAGTAACTCCAGCTTCACAGCCAGATCATCCATCATTCTTTCCACAACTCCCTGCGAACTGAATGTTGTGCCTCTCCACTGAGATGGGTACTCTCTGAGGTCAAGACTTCCCAGGAGGTACTGTGAGTAGGAAGAAGATAACACACCTGTGTAACCATCACTTGTGGAGCACTCACTGTAGTCAAAGCATTATTACCAGGGCTTAGGTAGGTAAACAGTGAGTGGGACACAGTCCCTGTCCCTAGGGAACACAATCTTAAAATCCTGTGAGGAAATGACCTGACTACTCAAATATATGTTAAGGACATGAGTTTAGAGATGAATGCTTTGAGCATTCAAAGGAAAGAATTGCCATAGCTAGTTAGAAGGAATCACGGCTCAATAGGCTAATCCTCCACCTAGCGGCACCAGCACACCAGGTTCTAGTCCCGGTCGGGGCACTGGATTCTGTCCCGGTTGTCCCTCTTCCAGGCCAGCTCTCTGCTGTGGCCAGGGAAGGCAGTGGAGGATGGCCCAAGTCCTTGGGCCCTGCACCCACGTGGGAGACCAGGAGGAAGCACCTGGCTCCTGCCTTCAGATCAGCGAGGTGCGCAGGCCGCAGCGCGCCAGCCGTGGCGGCCATTGGAGGGTGAACCAACAGCAAAAGGAACACCTTTCTCTCTCTCTCTCTCTCTCTCTCTCTCTCACTATCCACTCTGCCTGTCAAAAATATATATATATATTTTTTTTTTTTGAAAGAGTTAGATGTAGAGACAGAGAGAGGTCTTCAATTTGCTGGTTCACTCCCCAAATGGCTGTAATGGCCGGAGATGGCCAATCTGAAGTCAGGAGCAGGAGCGTCTTCAGGTCTCCCACATTGGTACAGGGGCC